TGGGCAACGTGCTTCTGTAAATCGGCATGTAACCATATAATAAACATATTATATTCTTTGCAAGCTCTTGTGGGGCCACAAAAAATGAAGTCACGGGCCGGGTTTGGCCCCCGGGCCTTGAGTTTGACACCCCTAGATTGTTGTGAAAAAAACATGTATACAACTTGATTGTGCAGCACAGGATTAATGTTTTAATAGCATTTATACAACAACAAAAAACCCACTAAGGGCTTTGACCTCAGAGAGTTAACAAATAGCCAAAAAAATATATATTATAAGCCCCCGGATCTATTAACAGCTCTCTTCAACCTTAAAGGACAATATATAATCTTAAAAATACAAGAAAAACTTGACATTCCTGTTCATTATGTCCCATTTTAATATCCATGTCACAGATCTTTCTTCACAGCAGCCCTGACAATCTATTCCTGCACTGATATTACATTTTTAAATAAAATAATTAATTGTTTGTGACCCCTTCTGTCAGCAGCACAGTGTGGAGAAAAGACAGGAGCGGTCTGCAGTACTGGGGCTCCAGCTGGACCTCTAAAGGCCCCAGACGCATTCAGTGTCCTCACTACCGCTTCGAGAGAAACGACTTCAGCCTGCAGATCAACAACGTGAGGGGGGAGGACGGGGGGGAGTACTCCTGCAGGGTGATGCACGGAGACCTGATCACTGAAAGATTGATCATGCTGAGAGTCATGAAAGGTAAGAAACATATACAAAGCCTTAAAGTACATGTTTTAATTGCATTTTTAAACTTATACTACATTTTGGAAACCAGTATTGTACTTTTTGCGCCAGCTTAAATGAATTGATAGATTCAGATGATAATTCAAAATATGAATCAGCTTTGAATCAATTCAAAGTAACTCCAGCTTTACCCGCTGTGTATATTTGAATGCCAATACTTTTGTACTTTTCCTTAGGTAAGATTTTAAATGCAGGCACTTTACTGATAAGTGTTTTTACAATTGAGTATTGCTACTTTTACTTAGCATCTGAGTACTTCTTCCACCACTGCTTTAATAACGTTTATCGTTTGTTGTTACCTTAATTTGTTTATCCTTAATTTCTTGAATCGGTGCTGAAGACTTAACTTCAGACACATAGACGGATGCGTTGAGCATGCTGACACTCACAGTAAAGAGGAAGAATTTAGCCGCCACTAATAATTTAAAAGATAGTGTCAGACATCAGGTATATACTCATGTGCAATGCCTTGTTAACTTGGTGCTTCTGTAACAAAATGACTAAATACTTTTTACAATTTCAATCAAGTAAGTACATCTAATGAAATGTAATGTCAGATAATATGATATAAACTAAATCTCGTGTTTCCTCCACAGTGTCCCTCTCCTCCCCGATGCCCCTCTGGGGGAGCGATGCCTCGATCAGCTGTGAGGTGACCCCTTGGCCTCGAGGAGCCTCTCTGCAGTGGACGCTGAACAACAGAACCTTTGATCCTCAGTCGGGATCAAACTCAGACACAGATCAACGTGTTGTGAGGGAAAAGGCGACTGTGAGACTGACGGGAATTTGGACCTGCGTGGTGGGCTTCAGGGGGAGAGAGGGGAGAGCGTCTGCAGCTCTGACTGTGAAGGGTGAGTAACATATCCCATAAGAGCTAATCATTTTACAGACTGCATGTAACACAAGCTTATCAATGTAAGCATGATAGTGTGTGCTCTTAGTTACGCTCAAAATAAACAAATAGCTGGGGTACATCTTGTCCTTTTATGTGGTTGAGCCCTTAAAGGCTTCTTGAGGGAATCGTTTTTTTCGTATCGTCAGTTAGCTGAGTTTTTCCCGTCAGCTGGGTGTGGAACATTAATAGTTTCATAAATGACACTTCACAGATCACACTGTTGCTAGCAGATGTAGCATTTTCGGACCCTTCGGCGGGTCCGTGGGGTTTAACAGGTTAAAGGGGACCTATCATGCAAAATGCACTTTTCAATATCTTTCATACATAAATATGTGTCCCCGGTGTGTCGGAGAACTCACGCAGCGTCAGAAAATAAAACCCTCTCTCTTTTCCTCCGTACCCAAATCTCTAAAAACGGGGGAACAACGGAGCTGATCCAGATTTGCGTCCGATATGACGTAATATCTGAAATGTGGACCCACGGCCCTATCAGAAAGTTGCTATCAGAAACAATGCCCGACTGTTTTGGACGTAATATGGTCGGTGTTCACATTAGCATCGCTAACACTCAGAGCTAACCTGTACTGGAGAGCATGTGTGTGAAGAAGCAGGAAATAGAAAGGAACTCACCTTGTGGTATAACCGGCAAGAGAGAAAGCCTTTGCGCTCCATACTGTTTCAGAGATAATCCTTGATAATCCATGATATGGAGTTTCATCACGACAGTATTTAGTTTAGACAGTAGCTGCCGGGTCCCGCATGAGCTCAGCCCCCTCCTTTTTTATTTGTTATCAATTTTTTTTTTTTTAAAGCTTTATACCTCAAATCAACACTTTTGAAACAGGAAGTGAAATAGAGGGATATGAGGCATGGCTAGAATGGGTGATCTGTTTGGTATTTTGAGCAAAACACTTCATAGACATGTTTTTTATATATTTTTATATATCTGAGACCTACGCTATTGCCTAAAAATAGCATGATAGGTGACCTTTAAACAAAGCAAGATGAACAAAGTGTCTGGAGTAGATATACCTCTAAATGCATACATTGTTTTTCTAGAATTAGACACTTATTATGAACGCATGCACATTCTGCACCGGAATTAAGTACTACACAAGTAAGAGAGATAGTTTATATGCGTTTGTAGTACTTCTGATGACAGACGAAGCTCTCTTTGCTGAAGTCGGAACGTCTAGTTGATTTGCACTCCCCCCTCCTGCCCCCCCTCCATGAGGACGTCCATACTTGCCTCTGGACTAGTACTTTCTAACTAGTACGACTCTTAAGGTACGTCGTTTGCTATTCTTTGTATATAGTATATAGAGGAATTTCATGTACAAAATATAACGTTAACACACAATTTCGAGTTTGATGAACGAACTCAATGAACTGTTGATAAAACCTTTGGTCATAACATGAAAAACGCGGTTCGAATTTACTTAACTATCTAAGTCTACTATTTAAGTTTATATTTAGTCGAAACTTAGTTAAAGTTTCATTGGAGGTCGAAATGGGCGACACATTATAAACTTACGGTTATGAAAACATGAAAAGGAATCCATTCTAAAATTACGTCCGTGAAATGACTATTCACAAAATGTTAACTCATAACGATGAAAATGTCAATCGTTGATTTCCAGAAGTCGGACCTATCAATTGACATTGTATAGGAAACGATGTGTACGAAATTTTGCAAATAGCATAACAACAATGGATATTTATTACCAATATAGGAAATTTAATAAATTTAGTCACATTACCGAATCTTTGTTAATTGAAGTCTGTGTTAATCATGGTCCATACTCGCAACTCGTACCGACTGTGAGGTAGATCATTTCTGTGCTTCTTAAGATCATCCAAAGGCCAGCATGTGATTTTATTTAAAACTTTTTCTATTCACAGCAGTCATTGTAAAGTCACAAAATATTTAATTGAATGTATACACGTAACGATAACAATATGGGAACTACGCAAGCATCCATTGTTTTACTGCAGTAGTGTGCTATAAAGAGCAGACAATAAATGTTGTAGTTAGTATCGTCATTAAACTCGCATAGATTATTATATATCTTTAACTCATTGATTCTATGTTTCGTGTACTTATACTTTAGTAAAATGTACATATAGATATTTTAGAGTCATGCAAAGGATAAGATGTCATCTCAGGGAGAGTGAAGGGAAGACATGACGTATGACACTCCACCGTCGTCTATGTAAGCTTTGTTGTCCTATGTAAGTTTAGTTGTTGATAGTCTTAGTCTGACGCAGATGTCTTACACTGGGAACCGGAGTCTCCTCGGAGAAGGACGCACTGCGACTTGTTGTCTTGAAACTAGGAGTCAGCCCTAGTTTTCGAGGTCTGTGTCTAGTTGCACAAACAGCAGACGAGACATTTTATGACATAAATGTTTTGAACACGTATTGATTTTAAGGGAGGGTTGTACAACGTCTGTACTTCTGTCTAGAGTTCCAGTCTTAGAGACTTCTCTAGTACGGAAGGAGACGAAGTTCCACAGGGAAATGAAGAAGAGAACAAAGAAAAGAGAGAGGAGGGGCCGGTTAATTCGAACCACACCTTTAAAGAGGTTGCGTCCTCTTGGACTTTCTAGTGTAAAGGAGATCAACTTTTTTTGTACAGAGTCTTATAATTTCAGACTACGTGTGATTTACGTAGAGTAACTTCTGTTTTGGTTATCTGTGAAACGATTATGACATAAGGTCATATTATCATTTACAGACAGAGCCGCTTATGCATTGTTGGCATGTCCAGAGTGGACGAAGTTATATTGATGTAGCGTTTGTTAATAGACCTTAGGTTAGTTTACGTACAGGCTGAAAGTTGAGGGGCGCCTTTGTGAACGCGCTGTCAGTAAGATTGTCTAGAAGCGCGCAGAAGATTACTTGTTATTTGTGATGAGGTCATGTTCGGGCCTAAACCTTTGACGACACGCCACGTCTAATGTAAATGAGCCACCAAGAAGCATGTCGCAGACTCGGTCCTCAGTCGGTCGTCTTTGTTCCTCGTCTTCGGGTCGGCTGGTGTGTGTCCGGCACAAAGACTTCTCCTGGGCCTTCTAAATACGGTGAAGTCTGGCGGACGCCCCTTTTTATTATGGATTTTCAGCCCAGTCTGGAGTGGCGCTAGTCTTTATCTAATACAAATAGGGTCCGGGTTTCCCTTTAAACCAAGTATTGTCAATCACTTTCCCCTATAAAAACGTACTCGGTAAAATTGGTCACAAATCATATCAATTCCCTCCAAGTAACTACTATCTGTGTATTTTCCTTTATCTTGAATGAGTATGCACACCCTACACCATACAGTGTAAAGGGTCTTACGGCACAAAGGGCCTCTTGGCCGTCCGGGGTAAGGGGACCAAGAGAGCCTGAGCCACAAATATGAGTCTCTCTAAGGGAAGACTTGCTGACTTGGCTTAACCGACGGCAACTCCAGTCTCTAGTTCAAACTTGGGTGAGCATCAGCCACCTGGGAGCGACGACAGGCACGTCTAGCGTCAGTCGCAGTGTCTCCAGAAGACTGCCCCCGGGAACGACTACTGACTCTCCTTTTGTTCGACAGTGTACGTTACAATTTTAGTACATGACTGCCAGCTTTCGGATGTCACTTATTTACCGCCTTACCCAGAACCGATAGCTTCAGTCTACATTATCCATGTAAAGTTATATCGTACAACTAACCTTCACCAAACCTTAAACCTTTTCTATAGACCTTACGTTACAATACTGAGTGAAACCATCGTTGTGTGATCGAGGTCTAACCTAGCCTCTGTTGTTGGGCGACGACAGGCATGGTCTCGTGGTCTCGTAGACATCGCTGGGAATAGGTTTCTCGATGTGTTGGAGCTGAAGAAACAGTCAACCGTCTTAAATAGCTGACTCCTCCCGTACTCTGTCCTCCTGCTCCTGTCTTCTCTTTCTTCGTCCTTCCGCTGGCCTCTTCCAAACTTTTTCTTTAGGTCCAAAGTCAAAGAGGCTAGCCTAGTCTCCCCCCAGGTCTGGCCTCTCTTTTTGTCCCCTCTCTCTGACTTCTGGGGTGACGTCGCATGTCGAATCACGGCAGACACCTACCCACCTACTAAGACACTCTCACTTTTTTCCTCTTTCAACCTCTTGTCAAATCTATCGATTTGTGTATTTGTCTATTACAAATAAAGTTATTAATTGAATTTAAGATTAAATTTATCCAGTAAGACTGTAAAATCAGAATTTAGCATAAAAATGTAAATAAAATGCAGAACTTGTAAAAATAAGCAAAATAATTTAAACACCAAATAACTAGTATTCTAAAGTTTCACCTATTCGTATTTGTGTTATTTTGTTGTTGGGTTATTAATTGTGGTTTTTATAGCCTATTTGATCTGTTTGTTCTTACTGCTTGTATTAATTATTACCAGTACCGTGAGGATAAAACTCGCGAAAAGGGTTCTCGAACTAAGGTACGTGTACTATACCTGTCAGTATGTGTTGTTATATGCGAGTGTTAGTTGTGACACTGCGTCGCCGACTACTGTCACCACGTCATTACCACGTATCGCAAGTAT